AAAATCTTGTTTTTGTTATTTTTTAAGACTGCACATATTGCACGCAATATTCCGCGAAAACTACCAAAAGTTTTAAAAAATGTGCATGACCTTTATGGACCTAACTATGAACAACAAATTTCGTTTGAAGAAAAATTTTGCTTCAATTTTGTCATTTAAGACTCCGAAAAACTTAAGATTTTTTGCTGTTTTCAAAGTTTTAGAGTTAACTCTGAAAATTGGATCTATGCCAACTCTATAAGTGTATTTTACTCTATTCTTTAGATAAATTTAAAGAAAAAAATTGGAGCTTTGTTTGAGAAAATTTTGAGTGTCTCATAGGCTACATGTAAAATACCCCCAAAATTAATCAATGTTTTTCAAAATTTCAGATCTTTCACTGAGGCCAGATCGACAGGAATTTCTTCAGTATGGAAAAAATCTTTCGCACTGTTTTAACCCTAGTGTTCTTCACAAACGCCGGGCAGACGGATGGTCATGCATGTGCAAAACACATTTTGATATCAGGACACCGCAAAACATGTATTTCCATTGAAGTATCGAAATCGATTTTCAGCAGCATTACAAAACTTTATACTACGTATATTACTCTTCATCAGGGATGGAGAAAACTGAATGGACTGAAATAGAATTAGTTCTCCATAGTGAGTTCTTTCAATAAGGCCATGTACATGTTTTTGAAAATATTAGTCGTTTTCGCGCAATATTGCTAGCAATATATGCAATTTTAAAAAGATACAAAAAAATATTTCGCAAACCGGGCCCCAAATTTTTCCTTTCAACTTTTTTGGGGGGGGGGGGACTTATTGCTAAATGTACTCTGTAAGATGACATACGAGCCATGTTGCTCTATTCTTTTGTGGTTGTTTTTTTCAAAAATTACAAAAATGTAATTTTTTTACTTCTCTCTGACGTCGATAATATTTATATTAGTGGCAATTTATCCACGTTATATTTACGAGTACATGTGCTTTAAATAATGTCATACAAAGTTTCTCGAAAACTCAACCGTTTTCTGTGAAAACTAGCTCCAAAATCCGCATTTTCAGAAACGCTCAAACGTAATTTTCTAAACAAACGGCTCCAAATATTTTCTTCAAACTTTTCGAACGGATTGTGCTAATTATACGCTTGAATGCGACGTAAAGTTCATTTTGGGGTATTAATTTTGTAACTTACACAAATGTAATTTATTTGAAAGATCTCGCACATTTCCTGTCGTTTGTAAACTCTTTTGTACATGTGAGTTAAAATGCTTCAAATGACTTTTAATGAAGTTTTTCGAAAATTCAAAAATGTCCTGTGAAAAAGAGCTTCAAGTTTAGGTAGGGCTTAAACGCCATTTTCTTAAAAACGGCTTTCAATTTGTAACGAAAGTTGCCGTTCTGAAGTTTCTGAAGTTTTACTGTTCTTTAATATTCGTAAAATAATATTTCTTTTCTACTATTAAGAAACCGAAAATTTAAAAAAATATATATTTTGGGTAGTGACAGTTGGCAAAAGTATGTAGCGAGTTCATAAAGCTAGATGAGACCAAACGAAACAGAAAATTAATACGGGAAAGCCTGTGTCATTCTATAGCACCACTAGGTTGACTGTTACTTTCCTGTATACATATGTATATACGGAGAAATATGCGTAGTATAGGGAAAGTCATATAATGTTGCGCGAAAAACGGCGGATTTTCGGCAAAATAAAATTCATTGCCGGTCACTGATAACAAAAAAAGTGGATAAATCCAATTGCTAAATTAACAAAAATAAATCTTCTAACACGTGATGTAGTTAGAATCCCTGTTTTGTGGGTCCTTGATAACGAAAAAACAATTGATGGCAAAACGTCCGTCCGTTTGTCAGTCTGTGAACACCTCTAGTGCCTTATTCTTTTTCGTACGATTTTTTTCACATGGTGGTTATTGTGGATAAGTGGATATTCCCCGGTTGTTCTGGCTCTACTAAAGGCGCCGCGATTTTGAAAGACTTTTTTCAAAATTTGGTGTTACTTTAAATGAAGTCCTCCGGACATTTTCAAAATTTTCTCAAATACGGCTCCAATTTTTTTCTTCAAATTTCTTTAAACCATAGAGTAAAATAGACTTATAAAAGTGGCATAGGTTCGAGTTTCATTGTTAACTCTAAATTTTTTAAATTGCAAAATTTTGGAATTTTTTCATCTTCCTAAAACTACAAAATTGAAGATTGAGATTTTTCCTTCATATAAAATTTGTTCTCCATAGTGAGTTCTTTCATTAAGGTCAGACATGTCTTTAAGTAGTGTTTGCGCAATATTGCGTGTAATATGTTCAATTTAAAAAAATAACAAAAACCCGATTTTCCGAAAAAAGACTCCAAATGTTTTCTTTTGGTAGGGATAGTGATAAATGTACTATACGAGATGACATTAACATCAGTTTGCTCTATTCTTTTGTTTTCTCAAAAATTAAAAAAATGTAAAATTTTGACTAGTTTCTTCATTTATATTAGCCACGACGTTTATATTTACAAAGCTGAAATATGTTTACATTATTATATTTATGAGTACATGTTTTTTAAATAATGTATATGTAATAATGTTTGTGTGTGCTTATACAGTTTGTCGAAAATTCAACATTTTCTGTGAAAAGTGGTTCAAAATTCCGCTTTTTCGAAAACGCTCAAACGCCATATTCTTATAAACGGTTCCAAATTTTGTCTTTAAACTTTTCGAATGGATAGTGCTAATTACCCTCTTTAATTTGACGTAAAGTTAACGTTGGAGTATATTTTTTAATTACACAAATGTATTTTTTTGACATAATATGCACATGTCCAGCAATTTATAAATACTACTGTATTTGTAATTTGAAGTGCTTCAAATGACTTCTAATGAACGTTTCCGAAAATTCAAAACTTTTCTGTGAAACGAGCTTCAAATTCAGAATTTACAATAGCGTTTTAACACCATTTTTTTAAACAGCTCCAAACTTTTTAAAGGAAATTGTCAATAAGGACAAGGTTTTACTGTTATTTAATATTCTTAAAATAATATTTCCGTTCTACTATTAGCAAACCGAAAAAAATAAGAAAATGTCAAAAAGTGTACTTTATGAGGCGATAGAAGGCAGCTGGCAAGAGTATGTGGCAATTCCGAAAAGCTGGTCGAGATAATAATAATAAAAAAAAGAAGAAGAAAACTAACACGTGAAAGTCTGTGCTATTCTAAAGCACCACTAGTTTATTTAGTGAGTTGAGTTAAAGCTTCTTTAAAGATTGGCTTGCATGAAGAATGAGTTCATTTTCAACTTTGTCAATTGATGCGTTTTCATTAAGTCCTTCTGAGAATGTACGTGAAGTCAGAGATTCCTCTACTAAAGGATGGTTTAGTGATGGAAATTCAGATTGAAGAGTTACTTTGTCCTTCTGTTTAGATGGCTTATTTCGTTTTCATTCAGCTATATAGAACTCTGTGTAATATTTCTGAACATTTTATGATTATGGAGTCTCTGATAGAGTTAGTAGGGTAGTTAGCTTGATGCTGGCCTTCACAAAGTGCGCATTTTGGAGTGGCGTCTCTGTCCTTATCACAGATCACACTAAATTCAAAGAAGACAATCGATCAAATAATAATTAACAAAACCACTACTCGATATGAAATTGAAACAAAAAATTTAGGATACAGTGATCACGATGCACAAATTATTACCATTATAAGAAATACAAACACTGAGACATTAAATAATACACGTATGAGTAGATTGTTTACTAAAAGTAAAATAAATATATTCATTACTTGCAGCAAGAGTCATGGGATGCTGTTTATAATGCTGTTGATTCATGCGATAAATATTTTTTTCAACGCTCTCATTTTATTTTAACACTTGCTTTTCTCTTCAAAAAAGAAAATTAAATATTTCATAGAAAAGCAGTTCTTGAATAATACAAGGGATCAGGACATGACGTAAAAACAAACGTATTCTTTCTTTGATTTTTAAGCATCTTAACGTGTCTCATGATTTCCTCTACTTTAAAAAATACAAATTATTGTTAAGAAAAGTCATAGGCAGGCTGAAATGATGAAACATGATCAGGATATTTTGAACTCAAATAATAAAAAAAAATCAATGTGGAATATAGAAAAAAAAAAGATCAAATCAACTTCCGTTTTTATCCATTATCCCATTTGTTAGTTGAAATGTTTTTTCAATGAGGTTACTCGAAAATACGTTTCTGTTGAAAGGAGCTCAAAATTGCGCATTTCGCAAACGCGCAAACGACATTTTTTCAAAATTAGCCCCAAAGTTTTGAGCGAAAACTTACATATATATCTTCTATAATTTTTTTTTTAATCATGTTTCAAATCTACTATAAGGGGACAGAAAAATTGAGAAAATGTTATAGAAATGTCATTTAGCGTAATTATTAGTCATCGTAAAGCAATAGATGGCGACTGGGAAGATGGTGGGGCAAAAGCAGAAAGCTAGTCCATACTAACGAGATTAGAAAACTAATTAGTACGAGAAAGTCTGTGCATTTTCGTAGTACCACTAGCTTACACTAATCTCTACAGATTACTGGCGCAACCCGGCAGACGTTGTCCTGCCCTTAATCTCTTTCTTTCTCCTTCCCCCTCCCTTTCTCTCCCTCACTGTCCCTGTTCCTCTATGTCTGTGTCTCTTTTTCTGTTTGTTTCTCTCTGCGTTTATGTTTCTCTCTGTCTCTCCCGGGCGTTATTTCACAATTACAGGGGCACACACTCAATACTTCAGAATGATGCGGGTTGCGTAGAGAGCCAGAACAGGGGCGTTTGGATCAGCATAAAATCATCAACGCGCGACTGCGTGGGTAGACATATGCACATTCCCATCTGCCTATATTCTTCCTACAAGTGCAAGCAATAAGTTGACAAAGTTCTATCGCAATCTGATTAATCATTCGGTAGCGCATTAAGAACGAACCAACAAACCAACAAACAAACACACCTTGTATTTTATATATAAAATATATTAAATACTAAAATAATTAAATATCCATAAATAATTAATCAGTCGCGATAAGTAAACATCAAAATTAAAAATCGGCAGCGATCCTACAGACTACAGTGAGTCACAACTAGTGAAAAACACAGGTTAACCCACCAGTGCTGCCAGAGAGGCTGAAGCTGGGATGATAGCGGGAATTATAGCAAGAGATGTAGTAGAAGAAATTACCAAATGGTAGCGCTATATTCTGGGTCAAGTGTCGCCATCCGGTAGTAATATTTGTAAATTCTTGATCGTTCGGGATATCTTCGTGTTCCAAAATCCTAGATCGAGGTCGTTTACGACGGAACCACCTCGCAATGGAAGTAATGGAATAAGCTGATTGACGGGGTGGGGGCGGGTTGATAAAATGTGTGAGAGATGACAAGAATGTGTGATGCTTGAATTCTATTTTGGATATTTTGTTGTGATCAGTTGGATAAGGCTCCTTGACTGTGTCTTACACTTTTTTGTTGCTCAATGCTTATTTTGTTACCGTTTTTAAGTAGACATACGTGGCACATTGGCGTTGCCATCTTATTCGAATGCTGTCAAAATAGTCTGTTTCACTAAGACGGATCAAGAATTAAGTGTCATTCGTGTTGACGCAATAAACATTAAAGAATGGATGTGATTGCACCGTAGTAGAAATTAATGTTAACAATAAAACACATTTTAAGTTGGAGGTTATGTCATCTTACAAAATCAAAGAAAGCCCACGGTCTTACCATCCGTATTGCCCTCCGGAAACCATCTCTACATTATGGCTCAACAAACTTCATGCAAGGTATTTTTGAATGTATTGACAAGTTTCAGTTGCAACACAATGTCTGTACACTAACTTCAGTGACTGCGTATTTGAACATCAGATTATATGTGCAGGCCTACTACACTGTTTAGAATGACATATTTGAAGCAAAACGTACCGAAGAAAGTTTAATGAAGAGTTGGGTATGAATTTTCAGTGCACGTCATTGATTTGCTAGGAAATGGTTAATTTTTAGTCAGCTGAGGAAATTATTCATCAGAGGAAGGCAGTTTATTCCAATATTTTCTTCGACATAAGGATCTGAATATGCAAGATTCCCTTGAAAATTTAGATTTAACAATTTTTCAACATATCACTTTTTGAAGGTATTTAATTACAGTTTGCCTTTTGACATTACCCAGTAAGTGCATGCACTAAAGTGGCACACAGATTTGCATGAATTCAAATTTGCCCTGTATATACAGCAGCAATGAATGTTCTGCTGCAATGTTGTGCTTTAATTTTTCTCTTATTTGTTGGTTGTAGAACATATAATTTTTGTTTGTCTTGATATAAAACAGTGAAGTCTCTTCTGTTCATATCAAATTAAATTATTTGCATATGAGTAGCGTGTTCAGATTTGTAGCCCAAATCAAAGTTGCAGTAGATTAAATTCAGGTATTTTTGTACCAATACATTAGATGTTAAAACGTATTCACATATTCTATTGTTAATATGTTGATTATTGATATGTCAATGTACTGTATTGTCTTCAGTTATTAAAAATCTAAATTATTTACTAGAGAGAGTGGAATTGCAGATTTCAGTCAGTTTTATCTTTTGAAGAATATTTTTCTTGTATCAACTTATGAAGACATTTTCAATTTTTTTTTCAAAATGTAATGTAAATCTTATTATAAATTGTGTGTGTATGTAATGATTGGTTTGCAAGTTGAAATTTGAGAGAAGGGTCCTAGGGTATGTATATAAACAAGACTTTTAAACATCAGTGAAATGATCATTAAATGTACAACACTAACTTATTTTACACAAATATATCCACATGAAATCTCAATATTTTTGTGTATTCTTAACTCAAAATGACAAAGGTTACATTATTCTTTAACAGTTAATAAGTGAGCAGAAATTATTTTTACTTTGTTTATATTGCAGTTTGGTATTTTCTTTTGTTCAATTTTTAATTAGTTTATTTTAATTTTAAGTTTACTTTTCATTATTGCACATTTTGTACCAGTTAATGTACAATGATTAATTTTAATGTTAGCAATCAATTGCGTAAATTACAAGTACTTTACTAGTAACACTAATGTACTTTAAAATACAGTAACATTACATCTTATATGCACAAAATTACCTTACACTCCAAAATATAGATGTTATTGGATGAATGGATAGGCATTTCATGGTTATTTATGTTAACTTCTAGGAATGTGGCTGGGTGTGCCGCTCGTGTGATGACCAAGGCCTTCTCCAGCTACATGTGGAGGTGGAGAACTTGAAGCAGCAACTTTTGGAACGAGAAAGCCATATACGCATCATGGAAACTAGTTTCCTAGCTGAAGCTGACAAATTTCCTAATGGTGAAGCTGCTGCTTTGACTGAAGAATTATTGACATGGCAAGACAAGTATTCTAGGTATGATGTTTATCTTATTATGGGACAACATCTAATATTTGGGAGGCATATTCCAACTTTTATGTCTCTCATTGTATTTTGCAGAATACAATGAGCATTTGTTAGGCACTTACAATGCTTAGTTATTTCTGTGGCATATCAATTTTTAGTGTACAAAGGTTGGAACATGCATGGTCAAAATGGGTAAAATTTGTATATTTTGTGAGAAAAGTAATATAAATGCCTTCAATGCACTTGTGCGGCAAGGAGTATTTTTTAGCATGTTGTGATGTTTACTTGGGGTTTTGGGTTACTTGTGATCTGGATTTTAAAAAGATAGGTGGGATTATGTACCCGCAAGGATTTAAAATATCATATGTCACATTTTTGAGACTATTGTCAGATTCAGTTGCCTAACATACTTAGAATATATTTTGAGTGTTCCAGTGTTCTGAAATGTGCCATCTAGGGATGCAACATCAATTTATTGAAGCTGTTGTTTTCAAAACATTGATGTTTGGATTCCCATTGATGAATTTCTGATAGATCTGTCAATATTTGTTTTAAAGTTTGACAATATTTTTTGCCAATATGGATTGATTTATGAACTCTGCAATATGGACTGAAAACTGTCTTCTGGTACAATTTATGAAACATATGTGAGTAAGTTCTCCCTTCAAACATCAGAGGAGATGTAAAAGAACTTCCAAAAAGATCTCGCAGATTATTATTAGAATACAAGAAAAAAGTTCTTTCTGTTAAAAGACACAAAATAAAGTGGAGACTTAAGCAACATGTTTAGTTTTGTGGTACTATTTATTAATGTCAAACAGTTTAGCAAGAAACAAAAACAATGCCTATTACACTTCTAAAGTGATCAGCAGCTTGAATTCCTTTATATTAGAATAGATAAAAAACAAAAATAGTATTGTGTTTGTTTACACAACTTGTAGATGTATGTTTACTAGACACTCTCTCATACCTTCAGTGAATAGTTCTTTCCAACCTTTCAAATAAGACTCCACATCCAGAAAAACAGGTGCCACCATGGTGAACAAAAAGGGTATAACTCTGTTTTCAATAAAATCAACAAATAAATAAATAAATACTAATTCTTTTCTTGGAGCTTTCCAGTCTTTCCTGTTATTTCACTTATCATATATGCTCTGATATTTGTAATGATCGTTTCTCCATTCAGTGTAGAATTTTAACTCCATGTTACAGGTAGTGTGCATCATTGATCAAATGTAATTTTTTGTGTAGGTTGTATGAGTCCTACAAAAGGGTTCAAAAAGTAAATCAGAGTCTAGAAGACAAACTTTTGAGAATAGTGGACAAATGTGAAACTGAAAAAAATGATTTGCTGAAAGAAGTGTCAGCTTTAACACAACGATTAATTGATGCTCGGACAAAAGTCAACCGGCTTCAGACTGAAAATGTAAGTGAAATTGTTAAAATGTAAAACAAATTATTCCTTTGTATGTGTGTGTGGTGGCACTTGATTTATTTAGGTGTACTAATATGTTTTAGTGTACATATTGTACAACCATGATATGAACTATTAATGAATTGTTGGGTCAATCTTGTAAATCAAGATATTTTTCTGGAAATTGTTTTTAGTAACAATTAATACATTAACAAAAAGTATCTAGAGAATTTTCAGTTTGATTTTTCACAATTTTCAATTTTTTCTTATCTGTCTGTCTTAATATCTATTGTTTGTTTCCTCAACCTTTCACTTTCTCTTTTCATACAGTCTTTTTATTACTGTAACGTCGTGCCATTGTGCCTGCTGGACCCCACGTGTCAGGAGGCCAGTGAGGGGATGGGGCCAATTATTGGCACGAAGTTTCGGGGCTCTCCCGAGAGGGTCGGGGCACGTGTGTTTCGGAACACGGATGTCAACTAGTGCGGAAGGGTATGATGGGTGAGAACAGCCTCTGGGCAGCTGTGGGCGGGCTCCGAATTGCAACCAGGTCCAAAATTTAGTTATGAAATGACACCGCCATCGTAGGAGGTCTGTTACGTGATCCCTAGCGAGGAGGCTGGAGAGAAAACAGCTGGGTGCATTTGAGTTTGAATCAAATCGTGGTGTGGAAGGTACTTGTGACCCGCAAGGGATTATCGCTAGCATCAGCAGTGAGGTGTGGATGTTTGTCAGGACAAGACGCCATAAGCGGAGATAAGGTTAGCCGCTGGGGTCTGTGTCAGGCTGAGGTGGGAATGTCTCAGGAAGTGCAGTGTTGGGAGTGCAGCGTTCATTCCTCAGGAGTGTAATTATTGTATTGTAAAAGTGTAACTAAATCGGTTCATAACAACTCCTGGTCTGTGTTTCACTTGCACCACGACGACATCACAATTTTTTACCATATCTGTAGTAACTGCCCACTGTCATTATGATGTCTCTTATCTACAATATTATTTTGGGAGTTTTTTCTCTTAGGAAACTTACAGAAAATGTTTAATATAATTTGAGACTAAACAAAATATTGCAAAAACCAACAAAAGATATATATAAAAATGATTCTGCGTTTTTAAAAATGCTTTATCCACATTTTATAAATCATTTTCCTATTAATTTACAGCTTTACGCAGGATCACACTTTACAAATAATGTAAATATTCCTGTATAAACACAAATCCATTTAAAAATACCCTTAAAACACCCCTAAAATGTCCATAAACGATCTTCTGGAAATAAATTACTTAATCTTTGATAACTTGAAGCTCTGAAAATCCTTAGGTAAGGTGGATTTGTGATCATGTTAATTATTGTAATAATTCATGGCTTTCTCCAGTAAAGATCTTGTAATTCTCGGTTACAATTTGTTTTCAATTAGCCCACAATATGTGACTTCCTAATTACCCAACAGGGTTTGAGTTCTGCAATTGTTAGTCATTTAATAACACAGTTTGATTAAAAGTTATCTTTCAGAAGTATTCTCTGAGCTTCAAAATGCCTTCTCATCATTCCTCACACTCCAAACCCGTTCACTTTGTTTTTCAATGCTTTCATTTCTTATTGAATTTCTTCCAGATTCTTATTCTATATATCTTTTGATCCATGTTGGTGGTATTAGGTTTTTAATCAATCCATTTTGAGAATATAAGTGATTTTTGCATCAGGTTTTTCTAATCTGCCTCTATTATAAAAATTTAAAGGCACAATTCAATTCATTGTACTTAGCATATCACAGTTCAGTGTGTTATAATTTTGCTGCTTGGGCATTGTTGTCAGGACAATAATGCCCAACAATAGTAAATGACTTAACTATACTGTGGTCTCCTTAATGTACAAGTATGAATTAGTAGTTCTAATCTGTCCAACTTCTGTAGTCAATTCATAAATGTATTTGTTAATATTTTCTGATATTAGTGTCGCCAAATTTCTGTGACAATAGCTTGTGCAAATATACTATGAATACTTCGTGTCTTTCAACCCACTGTTTATGATTTTTACCTTGATAAATTAATATAAAATATTACTTGTGTAGTGAATTCTGCATATGGCTCATAAATTTATCATAAGATTATTTATAATAAATTGTAATATTATATAAAATTTCCATTTCCAAAATTCACATTTTGTTGTACAGGATCGATATAAGAATGATGTTAGTCTTGCTATCCAGCTGCTTCAATGCAAACCAGCAAACTTCGTTCCTCAGAAGTACGATTCAGTAAGTTTTGTTATGACAGCAATTACTTAAAAGGTTGTCCATTAACAGACTTAGAGAATATATGTCAATTCAGAATTTTCTACAGCTTCCAGCTGATTTACAACAGAAAGTTCTTGCATATGTTTGTGGCCGGCGACGTCCATCTGACGTGGGAGCTGTTCCAATTCGTGTTGAGATGCGCACGATTAAGGTTCCAGTGTCTACTTCACCACCTTCATCAATGTTGTATCCTGTTAATGAAGCTCATTCCATTAAAGGTTGGTGTGTTATTTAACTCAAGATCTAGTTGGAAGAAACTGCCAGAAAAGAAAAATTAAGCTTTTTGAAGTAATATTAGTATGAAAGATTCATTTGAGATAAATCACTGTTTTTAATTGAGAATATACAATACTTTTATTTTGAATTGTGTATCTTTTTTGTGAATTCAGTTATTTGAATCAAAAATTCATTATAGTAATTCCATGTATCAGTTTTTATATATATTTACAAAGGTGGATAAAATTCATTTCCTTTAGGTGCATCAGTTTTTACTGGTGAAGATAGTTTGAAAAAATGCCTTAGCTGTCACAAAAATTGTATGAATAATTGAAATTTATTTTCAAAAATAGTAGATCATATAGGACTTTGCATCCCAAGTCTACCTTGAGAAGTTGGCCATCACATACGTATTATTTCTCATATCAACATCCCATCTTCTGTGCACCTACAAAAGCCACAACAGTGAAGGAAGCATTAAACAAAAGATTTTGGAATGGACTCTGATAAAATGTTCTTGTGTATTGTTATGTTCTTGTGTTTCATTGTAACACAGTCTTAAATATCAGTTAAAAGTTTACACGAGCCTCAGTGTTCTCAGTTAAAAGTAATCAGCCATGTATAACTTGATAACTGTGTGGCATTACACTATCCACTTCCGTTATTTAGCTCCACACTTTCGTTATTCATTGCTTGCTATTTATTTGGCGAGTGCCAAACATTTGGTGCTTGCTCTACCCACGTGTCAGTCCTTTGAACACATCAGCTCTTCAGTATTGAGTGAGCAGTAGCTTGCTGCTCGCCTAATGTGTGGAGCTGTCTTTTGAGGCCTTTGAAACCCTGTTTTAGAGGCCCCCTTGTTTACATTACTTACCCCGTAATCTTCAAATCTAGTTTGTTTATTTTTACCTTTTATTATATTTTTCATGGCTTAGCTCTTCTGAGCTCCCCCACCTCATTGTTCAGATGGTCGAAAATTTATTGTTTCAAAATTCTTGTAGAATTAAATTAATTGTTTGATTTTCTCAGTGATTTAATTGTGTGGATCTTTTATCTTTTAACTAGTGGCTGCAGCAGCGAAAATGCCGCTGCACAAAACCACAAAATGGTTTCCTAAAAAGATGCATGCATACTAATCAAGAATAACAAATAAAATACTCTTATAACAGTGCAATAAATTAAATATTTGAACAAAAATGGTCTTCACAAAGACTGCAATAATATAGAATAGTAGTACATACACAGTATGCATACCAAGAATATAAAAAAAAGTTCTATTCCATCGTGTAACACATGAATAACAAATATTTTTCCTCTTCCATGGATCCTTGTTGTCACATGACCATCACCTATGCCTTAGGCAGGGACACACTGAGCATGAGAATTGAGTCAGTACATGTATTAGGAGAAAAAGCAGAATAACAAAATAAAGTATTTGCATTTTTTAGTCAAAATCCAAACTGTTTAATTGCTTTTGGTGCTTTCTGAGTTCCTGGGTGTCTAAACAGGATAGATAGCCTCCCATATGGCCCAAGGATGCATAGTTTCCTTTCATTTTCTATATTGAAAATTAGTAATGTAAATAACACTTTGTCTGCATGCAGTATCAGCATTTTTCTGTGCACAGATCGGTTGTTCAAATCATTGATGTAATGAGATGAACAATTCTTTGAAAGGTTTCCTAAGCCTAATATTTATTCAGTTTCCTTAACATAGTATAAAAAAATATAGAAATGACAGTAAATAACTTCATTGCACTAAAATTGTAGTATGTGCTGTGTAGAGCCTCCGGCGAGGTAACCCATATCAGTATATTTATCTAGGTTGATGTCTTTATCACTGAAATTGCTTTGATTTTCATCATGCATGTGCAGAACAACTTGAGATCCTTCGAAATTCAAATGGATAATTTCATTTTTGGTAGTAATTTAAATGAAGCCTCAGTTACATTTTCAAAATTTCTCAAAAATGGCCCAAAATTTGTTTAGTCAACTTTGTCTTTGGATAGTGTAAAGGATATTTAAGAAAATAATGCAGGTCTCATTTTCATTGAAATCCCTGATTTTTCAAAAATTGCAAAAGTTGAAATATTTTTTGGCATTTTCCTACTATTACAATTGAGATTTTTTCCTGAATGAAATCTGTATTTTAAAGACATCTTGAATTAAGGCCATGTACAATTTTTCAAAAGTATAAATAGTTTTTGCATAATTTTGCATGAAATATAAACAGTTTTAAAAAATATTTAAAATACTCCAATACTACAACAAGTGTTACGTAATTCACGGACAGCCTAAAGAAATGTAATTCATTATGTAATGTTATGTAATTCATGGACATGTCTGAAGAAAAAATCAATAATTGCATAAAAGAAAGGTCATTAATGAAGGGGGCCATTTCAATAGGTTTCTCTGTAGTCAACCAAATCTCATTACCAGAAAAATAAGTTACAAATAATCACTGACTGATTGTGCCATGAGATGTGGGAATCTCATATTTTAAGGGGGAAAACTAATATTTCAGAACAAAACCAAACGGAAGGAGGTTCATTTTAAACCAATATTCAGTGGTTCTTAGAACAACTCCAATCTTAAGTCTCCTTAATATCTGCAATTAGAACAGTTTGCAATTGGTTAAATTTTTTTCTAACTCCATTGATATATTGTCAGAACCTAACAATAATTACTTTGATATTATTCATGAACAATAATATTTTGTATGTAATTGTACAGTGTTTGTGCCTGAAGAAAATGGTTCTATCTTCACATTTAATGTTCTAATTATTCAGTTCTTCTAAGCTTCTGCAAAAGTGTTGGTTTTTAATTACCGTTTTGTCTTTCTGCTCTGAAACACAAGTTATGTATAAATTACAAAAATTGTGTAAATTGTCTCTGTAGTACTACTATATTAATATCCAATAGATCGAATTATAATTTTTATTAATGCATTCATGAATATAAATTTTAAAAGTCACCTCAGGTTTTTAGTACACCATAGTTTAACCTGTGATAAATATCTAAATTGATGTAGACTTGAAGAACAATCTTTTTCATAAATTACGCATAAACTTAATTAAATATTTGTTATTAAAGCCTAATTTAAATAAATTAATATCTACTTATTTGATTTATTTCAGAACTTAGTAGTGATGAAGGTCATGAAGAAGAAATAGAACTAATGAGTGATACAGATGTTAATTATTCAGAAGGTCGTCGTCCTCTGGATAATGTATCGGCAGCTATTATGGCCAAGGTCCTTGAAGAAAGAGAGCGGGAGCGTCAACAAACACGTCATTGTGAAAGCTGTACTTGTTTCACTAATGTTGCAGCTGTTACTGTGGATTCTTCTACACAAACTTCTGTTGCTGATTTGGAACCAAATATTTCATGTATGAATGGGTACACTGCAACTACTCGAGGCAGTCAAGGTCATGTTCGGTTTGTTGATTCTCTGTCTCGTAACATCAGTGGAAATGCACAAACGAATTTTCCATCCCGATTAGGTTTAAAAATAACAGAAAATAGGAATTCAAAATGTGATGCCACACTTATTAACATTGATTCTTTGCCTGATGTAAAAGCTGTTAGAAAAACTGAAAATGTTGGAAGTGTAATTGATATGAAAAATGATAATTCTTCAATTAAAAGGGAACTTAGTAATGAAAATCATATTTTGTCCAGAGAAAGACCATTAGAATGTTCGGTTTGTGATACTCAAGAAAAAGAACCAGACAAGATGAATTTAAGTTATAATTCCTGTATTAGTGATTCAAGTAACAAATTTATTTTAGAAGACATACTTTCACAAGAGGATGGTCCTGATAAATTAAATTCTTTGCAGACTAAAAGTTCTAAGGAAAATTGTATTATTGACTTGGAGGTAGCATCTGATGGAAGAAGCGATGTACCAAAAGCCAACAGAGGTAAAGAATTATCAATAGCAAGAAATAGTGGTGAAGTTTCCAATAAAAGTACAGCAAACTTGCAGCGAGTAAGTGGTTCACAGAGTTTTAGCCTAAAAGTAGGGAATCGAGAAGCACGAAACTTAGGAAGTTCAGAATCTGGTGGCACTGCGCGAAGTCCTAGTAACTGGATAAGATACCCCAGTGATGCAAGTAAAAAGAGTACTTTGGTTGTATCTAGTGACAAAACAGTGGTACCTTCTGTGCGTCCCTCAGAAACAAGTGTTAGTCGAGTATCTTTTCCTTCTGTGTCACTAAGGGGGAGTAACAGAGGGAGTGAGAACAGTCCTGGTAGTGGTCCACGGTTTTGTTCAATGCGATTACAGGCTGGTACAAGTAACATTCTTCTGGACAATGCCACATCTTATGAACCAGTTTTGTACACCAGCCGACACACTCAAGATGGCGTTGAGTCATGGGGTGTTAGCGCCAGCAGGTCTGGGGCAGCTGTTCTAGTCCATGCTCCACGTTCACGTGCGCCAAGTTTAGATGAAGCTCCATCACAAAACAAAGTTGCTCTTTGGGTGCATGCTAATCCAACACAGACAGGCACATGAGGTTTGCACGAAACAACTGAACAAATATTCTTTACACAAAAATATCCACTTCATTTTATTGGAATGTTGTATAATGAAATAGAGGTGCCTTTATGTGCAGCGGTAAATTCCATTTCTCACATGGCATTTCATCCAAAGATATATTTGATAGGTTGTGTATATATATATATAGTTGCGTAGTGTTTCATGAAAGTGCCAGCAAATAATAATTTGGATTTTTTATTTTATTTTGTGCATTGTAGTATGTATATTTTTCCAGTTTCATGAAATGAAGTAAAGGTTACCTTGAAATTAATTTGGGATTTTTTTAGTTCTATTTTTACATTATTCTTTCCTTGTTTTTGTTAAGTGTAAATTGACATGCTTCTGTTCATTCTGTACATTTTACATTTTTTAGCTTGTATATACACTCACACACTGTCTTCATTTGAATAAATAAATCAATGAGTGATTTTAATTGGTATTTTATTGAATGAAGATATTAGTAATATCTGTGTTTCTGCTAGTTCTGTGATAAATTATTTATTCATATTAATGGTGGTAATACATATGTTGAACCAAATACTATGCATCATGTAATGTTTATGATGTTAGAATGACTGGGGCTATTTGTTGTACTCTTTCATTCTCTTCTGAGAGAATGCTAAAGTTGTTGTTTTATTGTCTAAGGTTGAGTCTCATTCCTATAAAGTGTTCCTTGTCGGAGTAAATTGGAAGATAAATGCTCATTTCAATGTTCAATTCTAGGAGTAAAGAAATGGGTGGACATTGTTTTTGTTGAAATAAATAATTGTAAGTAATTCTACAGAATATCACATTTCACAACTGATTTGATATTTTGATTTATTGTTGCTTGTAATTGTTAAAATTGTCTCTGTGTTTGTATCTTTAAATGTATAAATGTGGATATCATGATGTGATGTATAGAAACACTTCTTATATGGGTCAAAGTAAATGCTGGCACCCTTTGTTTAATCCATAAAAACAATGGCAATTCCAAAGTCTTTTTGAAACTTCCCAAAGTTAAAATAGGTTATAATGTATAGATATAATAATAACTTTATCATTTATTCCAGCAACTAGCCCTGGTCTTCCCAACTATTCATATCAGTTTTATGAAATTGCTATAAACTGTGCAATCAAAAAATGGAAGTGTTAAAATATAAAAATTTCATACAAATTGTTTTGGTCTTTATTATAAATGTAAGATTCATATTGGAGTAGTGTAGTTACTCTACCCTTGTCTTTTTCTCTCTTTCCAGCTTAATAAACAATCTGATATTTTGTTGTAGGACCACATAATATAATATTTCTAACAAATAGTAATGAATTCAGAAACTTCTTAAAATCTTATCTCTATTTTATCTTTTAATTATATTTCATTATGAATAAGTTAAGAGAATTGATTTTAAGTTAACAAGCTTTGAGTAAAAAGAGAAAATAAATGGCATCATCTAGTATTACTATGGATAGTAAATATTTTTGGGACATTCCAAAGTTGGTTTAATGTGAAAATGAACAGTTGCAAAAACAAATTTTGATTATTAGGAATCAGTATGGAATAAATCCAATGGAGATTTCTCAGTGGAAGGAAGGGAGGAATATACTCCTTGCACATTTACTACTGGACCAAGAGACAGGATTTCTATGTAAATGCACGTTTTTATTTATGCTTCGTAGAGCTTTTAAACTTTGTAAATATATTTTTCATTGCGTACTTTTTTAGTGTGTTTGTATGTTTTGGTAGTTTTGAGAAAAAAATTCAAGCATAATGTGTGTTTGGATGTTTTTCAAATTATTTCTGCATATTTTGACTTTAATGTAGTTTTTTAGGCACTTTTTAAAGCTGTTTTGCATAATTTGTGACAGTTAAAACTGATGCATATATTGTATAAATAGTACATTATTCTTAGATTCTGACAGTATGGAGTTACCTTTGATTATTCATATACCAGAAATTTTAACCTTCCAGTACATGTGCTACGATTTGCAAAGTGAGTACATGGTCTGTGAACCACAATCGTGAAATGAATCAATACCAAGTGATTAAGTTACAAAAGATAATGAAGATACAGGAAGCCATAACTCAATATCATTTGATAACCAACAATGGGAGAGAAAAAAACAAATGTCCCCTTGTGTACAAAATATAAAGTAAATCTAAAAATCAATTTCTTTAAAAAAAATTAACATAACATATAAAATCAAATTTTGTAAAAATGCCTATAACAGTTAAGAAATTGGAAGCAGAAGGTTTACCCCTCGTGGAGTTATTAAAATTTGTGAAGGACATTAAAATGTCTGGAATTAGTTCTTGGAGTTGTGTTGTTGCTTAGGAGAATGTGTGTGTTAAATTCAAATTCTGATTTGAAAATTATCCAAAATTATAAAAAACATAATTTGTGGTGAAAAACTAGTAAATTCTGAATTCATCATCTTATTGGCTCAAATTTCATCTTTCAAGTATTCTCCAATTTCATCTTGTGCCATATTATAATAATAATAATGTCATAATAACATTTTTTGCAATATAAAGAGTTGTTTCTGACAATATGACGAATTTGACAGAGTAAAACAGAAAAATTGCAAATTGTTACAAAAGGCAACAAAACTAAATATTCTAAACTAAAATTTGTTTGTGCATGGTTTGACAATTTTTGTTACAGATCGTGCATGTTTGGCTATTTCATAATGCATGTGTGCATGCTTCTTTTAGCATTTGATAATCCTTGGAAATTGTCTCTAGTAATTACGAATAAAAATATTTGAATATATAGATATATTGTTTTAGTTGACAGCTACAAGGAAATTTACTTCGATCGAATTTTAAACAACACACGCCTTAAATGACGCTAAAACACTAGTAATTCTCTGTGAGGTAGTACAGTAAGAGCAGCAGTTATTATTTAAATAAATAAAAACTGACACCCCTCCCACAAGAGCCCTCGAAACTGCTATCCAAATCTGCACCCGTCGTCATAATCGCATACAAGCATCCTGACCGACACATCCGAATTTCCCGACCTCGAAGTAGACATACATCAAATTAAGACAGCTTATAGGAAAACCTATCCCCCCGCCCTGCTCCACGCAACTGAAGAATGATCAAAGCAGCCCCATATCCACAAAGTCAGCGCAGTACGACCCCAACTTTCTTGTGTCTTCCCACTACCAGACGACCGCAACACTTGAACCTTTTATAGTCCTTTCTCACAGTCCCTAGCCGCGCTCTTCGAACCTCAAAACCACCATATTTCTGATCACAGCACCCTCCCGTGCTTAAAAACCTCACATATTCACTATGACATTGACCAACCCTAGATCCTTTCGGACATGGTGGTCGAACAAAAGGTATGAAAACCCGACAGAAAATACGATTCGGGCACCGATGGAATCCTTCCATTTCAAATATATCATTGACTTTACCACAATTCTTAAGTACTTCCTATTG